TAATTGGAATTCTTGGAGAAAGAATCGAGTATCCTTGAAGAATAATCTATTCATAACAAGAATGAAACAGAAGCCTTCGATCCGGGACCCATCGGGACTGCAAATTGATTTTCGATAAGACTTGGTTTAGGCTTCAGAAGTTGAATTCAAGAAAGGCAACACAGCGTACACACTCGACAAAAATTGAGTAGTCAAAGAATGGCTAAATGGAAAATCTGAATAGTTTAAATCGTTATTCGACATTTTTGCTGGTCGTGTTGGATTTGTAGGAAGACATAAGTATCTCGGGTATATAACAATGAAAAATCTAATTATAATGGTGAAATTAAAGAAAATACAGGATTTAATTGTAATCACTTTACATAATTGAAGTTTCTTTGAGTTGGGTGCTGAAAATCGTTCAGCTCCTCAAAGAATGCTTTTTTTTCCGCATATTTGCCAGCGGTCCAGCGCGTTGCCAGATCAGTTATCACCTTTTTTTTTAATTTCGCAAAAAATAACAAAAAAATTATCTCATTGCTACTGATAATACCTCTATATTTTTCAAAGATTTCTTCCATTTCAAAATTATTTTAAGATGTTGAAACTGGAAACAGCAGAAGCAAGAATTAATAAGAAGGCAAATAGAGGGTCTGTGAACTCCAACACATCCGTAACGTATTCAAAACATCTATAGGTTTGAAAAGCTGTGAAAGGCTGCAATATTCTGTAAAAGAACGAATTTCCGTGGGTTTCCTCTCGGTTTTTCTTTCAATTTCTTCCCTTTAAAAGGCACAACGAATTCGACAACTATTCTGCATTCAAGTTTTGGCTTTTTAAAGAAAGTCATTAAAATAACATCTTTGTCATAAAAATCCGTGCCCATGACCTTTTCTGTTAATATTCGATTTTTCCGTCGAGAAGAACAAATTGTGCAATTGAAACAAAACGAATAATTCCGCTATTGTTTACATTTTTTTTTGTATTTTCCAATGAAACATGACCCAGTGCGCATGTTAGTACTTCGTATGTCCATTCCACAAAGTCTTTCCTTGCAGATTGACCACAGATTCTTGATTGGATTTAAATCAGGAGAGTTTCCGAACCAGTCGATAGTACTTTGATTTGATCACTGGTAAGGCATGCCATTGTGTTCATACAGCGTTAGAATTTTCGTACGCTTCCTTGGAGTAAGGACCATCGCAGAAAATGGCCGTAGGACAACTAATCGACAGTCGAGACAATAATATCTGGGCGTGAGGAAAATCTGATGTAATCACGGATGATGCAGTATTTTTCAAGGCTAAGCAAATTTCATCATACACCCCGAAAAATAGATGCATATGTGCACACCACTGCAAATGACCTAATCTGAGGAAAAAAATAGAAATCGTTTACACCCTGTTACTCCAGTGGATCTAAAACTAACTGTATGGTGAAAGAAAGGAAACTAAAGTGGTTGTTTCAATTAATTTGCCCAAGAGTTTAGTACCTTCATTGCATATATTGTTGTTTTGTCTCCTTGTCATGTTAATGTGACTGCGTTTTACAAAAAGAAACAAAAAAAATATCAATAAGTTGCAAAAATGCCGCAGAATCAGCTGCAGAATCAGATGCAGATGTGCATTCGATATTGTCTCTGGTCGGCATTCAAATATTTTGACACCAACTTATCTGACAGGTTCTGCATAGTCATTAGGTTATGAATTATAAACCAAATCATTACAGGAAGTGAAACTTTTGAACACCTCCTGGACCGTGTTCCATCTTGCCTTTCCAAATCTAAATCCTGGACGCTGACGCAGCATTCCTCAACAGTTAAGTAGAGTGGTCACTTGTCAGAAAATGTTTGCATTATACACGTATCGATTTCGTCTGTAATTTTCTATTGCATGAAGAGGAACTTCATGACAACATTTGACCATTCCACATTTTCTGCTTTCCTAAATTTAAAAACATAAGCGCAAAGATGCTGTAAAAGGATAATGCAATATAAAAGGTAGATTTTTTCCGGTTATAAAACAGAAATGTAAGATCAGATTTTGGGAATTCACCCAGACAACAACACTTTTCAGCATCCTCACGTCATAAGCAATTTTAGAACAACGCTTAGTCTATGCATAATGTAAACGCATTACTCATGCTTTTACGGTAGAACTATATTGAAAATAAAAATGCACCAGGGCATCAGCGCCAGGAATTAATGCAAACATTACAGAGTGAATGTGACCATTTTATGTAAATACGTTACTGATTATTTTCTATAAAAATCAGCGAAACTAGAGAAATGGCAGATTTGAGTATTAAACTTGTCCATCCTATAAGATTACTACGGTCTGTAAGAATGGAGAGGATGATAAATTAGCCGCTTCTAAAGTTATCAGTATTCGAATCAGATGGAAAGCAAAGAATGCTGATTTTCATGGAAAATGGACACATCCCGACCGTGCACTTGGCATTTGAAGACTTATTTTAATCTCTTATCTAGCTTACCCTGTGCTTGTACTTTTGTTCTATACTAAATTATCAATAATAAAAGAAAAATATAATAATAATAATAATAATAATAATAATAATAATAATAATAATGGAGAATATGATGTGGTTTACATTTTCTTTTATTGGTGATATAAACAAAGAAGAAGAGGAAGAAGAGGAGGAATAAGAAAAAAAGAAGAATGAACGTAAGGAGGAGGAAGAAGAAGAAGAAGAAAGATAGGAAGGAAGGAAGGAAGGAAGGAAGGAAGAAGAAGAAGAAGAAGAAGAAGAAGAAGAAGAAGAAGAAGAAGCTAAACTCCGGTGATCGTACGTAAACTGATGTTTCAATTTGATGTGGCCTCGTCGATGGAATATAAGAAGACAATTAAATGAGTAAAAAAAGTAGGCGAATAAAAAAAGAGAAGAAGAAAGAATAGAAATGTATATCAGAAGAGGAGGAGAAGGTAAACAAAAAAAGAATAAAGAGGAGGAATAAGAATAATGAGAAAATAAAAGAAGGAAAGCAAAAAGATGGGGAAAAAAAAAAAGAAAAAGAAGGAATCTAAGAAAAGACAGAGTTATGAGAATTTCCTAAGAAAAAGAAGCGATTGCGAATACCTGGAGTTTGACTTCATGGATATTATTATTATTATTATTATTGCCTTGGGATCTTTTCAAAAGAATTCTTTGGCGCGTAATCTCAAGAGTGATTCATCGGTATCGAAACCAACTTCAAATTGGTCAGAAGACGATGCCGATACAGTCCATCGGCTAATCGACGCCCACACGACAGGGGCATATTCGAAGCATTCTCAAATTCTCTAAAGTCAACTTCGACCGCAACTCATCCACTCAACATCACGTCACTTATCTAATTATATGTTATTTGAGCGGTTTGGAGTTAATTTCTTTTCAAGAATTTCTAATTGGTCTTTAATATATAAAAAAAAATATACATGTAAAAATTATGTTTTTAATGTAAACTTTGTGTTTAATCATTGGAAATGGTTATTTTTATTAACAGACTAGCAGCCATACCCAGCTGGTCGATCAGAAAAAGTGTTCAATTAGAATGAATCAAAAAGAGCATCATATAACAGAATCTATCTTTTTCAATTACTTTAAAGTACTTTCATATAAAAAAATCATTTTGAATTAATGCAGTTACTGATATAACAAAAGTTGTGTGTATTTATTCAATCGAAGTTAGTCGAGGATATATAGGGGCAAAACAGGCAACATGAAGACCCACTTCAGACCACAATTATTTTGAAGTTTTTGAAATTTAATTTATCAGTGTGCTAGGGATGTAAAAGAGGATATATTTTTTATAAAGCAAATGTTAACTTTGATGAAAATTGGTTGAAATATCAACGATAAATAAGAAAGAAATCAGTAAAAATCGCCATTTTTTGCTATGTACGCGGGTTTTCCCTAAATGGGTGGCCACAATTATCAAGTGAAATGACTCTTAAACAATCAACTTATTGTTGGCTACAATTGAGTGAAGTTTGTATTAGATTGTATTGTATAAGTGTTTAGTTTAAAATCCGTGTTGAAATCAATTTTTTCTGGAATCGATTTTTCGTTTTTTCACGCTTTTTCGCTAAACGCAGCGAAGAGTAAATACAAATGAGTTATCGCTGAGCTCTTCATGATGTAAGTAATCTACATACCGAGCCTGAACGAAATCAGAGGAAAATATTTGAATTTATCGATTTTTGATCGGCATTGTCGATATTTGATTTTTTTTTTTAAATTATCGATTTTTTACGCTAAGAACCTATCTCTTACATTGTACAATGTATGTGCCAATTTTCGTCAAAATTGGTTGGATGGATCTCGAGTGAAAAGGCATCACACAGACGGACAGACAGACAGACATCCTCTGTTATATATATATATATATATATATATATATATATGAATTCTATTCTAATTTTATTTGTTCTTATTCTCTAAAGGTTCTTTTTTTCTAACCTATTGTCGTTTCTGTTCTCTCTGTGACATTCCTCTATACTCTTTCCGCTCGTTTTTTTTATTTGTTATATTCCGATTTCTAAAACTATTTTTCCTTTTCGTCCTCCTCTGCTTCTTGTTTTGATCAAATGGATCAAACATATTTTCCTTTATGAATCAATGTGGAGAATCTCAAAATCGCCTGTGTGTTTTTAGAGCATTTGTTATGCTCTAGGTATTTTTCAATGATTCGAACTCATATGAAAGTTTTTGACTCTTACTGGTCGGCTTCTATAATATCTTGCATTTTAAAACATCATGATCGAAAACGTATCATCATCTACGTGTTTCCGCTTCCCCCACAGTCAATATCTGGAAATCTACGACTCGTGGCATTCCCTAAAATTTTAATCACATTTGAAATACCGTAGGCTAAATGAAAAATATATCAACGTGTCAATTGATACTGATCGGGAAGGAAATTTGTTTTAAATATGGAAAGGATAACTATGTGTGAATCCAACGAATATAATTTGAAGTCGGCTATGACGCCATTTCCCATTTGTTTTTATTTTATTTTTCAGGCTTTCTTTGTATCTTGCTTTTTATTTTTCTCTTCCTAATCTTTGTATTTTCTGCTCTCTTTTCCTTCCAGACTTTCAGCCATATTGTTTTATCTTCTTTCTTTTCTTCTTCTAATACTAGTTTCTACCAACAATCATTTACTCTATGTTTCAACTTATTTTCCCGTTGTCATTTCTCCATGTTTCTTCACAATTATCGTTTTAATCCCGTTTTCTCAAATCTGAACCATTATATCTTCTTCTGAGCCTCACTAGAAGATTGTGACTTTTAAGATCTCAGTTTATTGAATATGCTCCTGTAACGGCAAATGGTTTAATGTTATCTCCGATCTGTTATTTAAGAACGTTCTTACGTTTTATGTGGTCAGTTTATAGTTGTCGGTACCCGCTTGCATCCGATCATTGTGATCGTCGTCATCTCTCCTTATTTTCTATCTCCCCAACCCTTGATGGCGATGACGGAGATGGCTCTGAAAGCCCAACCAACTCCTGAAGAGTTGTGAACAGAAGTCACAGAGAAGTGTGGGTGGCGGATACGGCTAGTTGAGTCGAGCCCTCCTGACAGCACATCGCAGATCCTCTGCATGATGAAGTAATTTTATAGCATTTTAAGTAAATCAGTTTATAAATATAAGCATATTTTTTATTACATACCTTCAAATCAAACTGATTCATTTTCTTAGTCAAATAATTTTATGATAAAATTTAATGTTCTTTCTAAGGTTGATTTTAATTCTTATTTTAAAGTGTAAACTACTGCCTTGAGTATTCATCCAGTTTAATGTGTTCACTGTCAAGTAACCACAAATTTTTGCTTAGAATCAGGAAGAGATGTTTAAAATTACTAACACAATATAATGAGGAGAGAAGGCTTGGAGAATTTGAAACTCACAGGACACGGTGAAGGCAAGAGGAAAACAGAGAATAACCTTCCTAACAAGCTTGTGTAAATGGATATCAGAACAGGGAGTAAGGCGACACATTGAGCTGTGAAGGAGAGGAAGATGTAGAGAGACATTATTTCTCACATCCTGATTGGACATGGCCCATAAAAGAAGGTCTATGAATGAATTATTAGTGTTGCCTTTAATATTTCTGGGTAATCTAATATACGTCTGCTATCCATTGTCCCCATTAGTTGATGTTTAAGCTCAACTCAAAAGCCAGGAATTCTAATGCTAATTCTTAAGGCGAAAAATCTGGTATTTTAAGACAAGGGAAATCCAGAAAAGGGTAGCAACAAAGGTATGCACTCCATTTAGCTTGCCAGAGCTGTTGAATTCTTTGAAGATTTTTATCACATCTCAGAAAGGCCCTCCATCTATGACGTCATCATAATGGAGAAATTGTAAGTTCAACCACTAGAAAAGATACAGCAACGTAGTATTTCAATGATCATAATATATATTTTATAATCATTTTACCCAAAGCAAGGTAATAGAGCCACTAAGACGCAAGAGGTTAGTGACTATTAGAGAATGTAAAGAAAAACTAAAGAGAAAGGACAATAAAAGAATAAGAATTAAGAAGACAGAATATAACCATTGACATTTACTGGGAAGCAAGAAGCCGGAAGAGAATTTCACAAGTGAGAAGTGCGATAGAAGAAACTGTTAGCATAGAACTTACGGTTACATCTAGCGATTTCAAATGTAAAATGATGAGACCTTGCCGCCAATCTAGTACTGCGCTTAAATTCATAAAGTCTAGGTATCTTTGAGGAAACTTCATCAAACAATTCCCTGGAAAGTACACAGGGAAATTAGGTTACCTAGGCTGGAAAGGGACTGAGGCCGAGATGTTAACTCAGGACCAATAGTATTGCACATTTTTTTGGATTTAATCAAAAATCTATAAATATATAGCAGGTGCACCAGGCATGCAAGATTCCGACGAGAAAAAAATTTCTAGTATGACATAATGAAGCAATTTTCTTTAGCAACTGATTCAATATACTCTTTCCCCATCATATAGCTGAATAAGTTAGTCCAAGAAAACGCAATGAGTCACTCACCTGAAGCAGGTAGAAAAGGTTCTCTCAGATTATTAAAAGAATAAAGTTTCTTTTTGGAGGCGTTAACATTAACAAGCCATTCCTTGCCCTATTTAACAATAGTTTGTGTTTTTTTTGTGAACAGCTACCAATTTGAGTTTAGTAAAAAAAAAAAAATCTGACTTACTATTAAGACAGAATTAAATCGATGTGTCATCAACATAGCGAGTTTCGAACGAATGACATCAGGGAAAATTAGAAACAGCGTAGATACAAAAAAGATCTAGAAACGTGGCCATTGCAGATAACTTATAATGTCCAGAATGATGGTTGTGATCGTGCGACCACAAACATTTGGACAATATTAACACAGTTACATCGAAAAATATATTCTCTTGTATTTAAAAAAAATAAACGAAAAAAATTAAAAGCATAACTTGTCTATTGTCTGTAATACTGAAAGATTGCACCTTAAAATGCATTTTATATATATATATGGATCGGTGGTGAAAACTGGGTAAGTTTGCCCGGCTTTTTAGGTTCATAACTAGATTTAGTCTACTTAGCGTATTGAGTTATTTTACTCGTGTCGGAGGTTTTTTTCTTTGGACTCTGAGCTTAGATTCTGGTCGATTATTTTCGCCAAAATTACATGTTTCTCGTTCTTTCTTTTTGTATTCTTTTTTTTTTTCCTTAGGTATGCGTTTGTTCATTTACAAGCCAATATACCTAAGATTTTTCCGGACGAGTATACTTACTTATATTTATAAGATTATATATACATATATATATATATATATATATATATATATATTTATATATATATATATATATATAATTATTTTTTTAAAAAAATCAAGTGATCACTTGATAAGACACCAAGGGTGTTGAAACAAAATGGCTATTTTTGTAGTGTTTTAATAACATATTTATGTTATAAATTTATTTTTTTTTATAAAAAGAAATTATATCTGCTCTACTTTGTATTGAGCACTCTTTTAAGCATAGTAATTGTTGGTTATTGGAATTCATTCCGTATACACCAATTATATACTTGGGTATATATATATATATATATATATATATATATATGATCATTTAAAAAATATACTAAAGAACTTTGGATCATTAATCTAATTGTTCTTTCCTATTACATCAATGCGCACACCCTCACTCACACACAGACACACACACACACATATATATATACATATATATATATGCTTTATGAATTCTAACGGATAGATAAATGAAGAAAAAATCTTCGTAGCATAAAACATTGGAACAAATTATCGCTGCTTAATCTTAAATGTGTAAATATGAAAAAAAAAAAAAACATGAGTGAAATGTTCACGTGAGTGGGTCACGTGGTGATGACATATGGAAAATGACTGCTTGGTTAATTTTGACTGTGTGTTAACGTAGATTTCTGAATTCAGAAAGCTGGATCGACATGAGAAAGTCGGATTTGAAATTGATGAGAATCGCAAAGGCTACCATCACCACTTTTTTTTTTCTTTCTTCTGAAGCTCGATGAGTGGCAGAGTGACACAGGAGATTTGTTTGAGTGAGTGGCGGTGCATGTGAACGTGTATCTATCTGGAGATGAATGTGCTCAAAGAATAAGTCTTGCATGAGTTGGAGAAACTTCCAAGTTTTTTTTCCATGCGTAGATCACACTTCTTATAGTGCGTGTTTTGCTTAGCGCACTTTGGAACAAAGCCCAAAAAAAGAAGTTAAACCTCGTTTAAGAAGTGAGACCGGTGCGTTTATTTGTCCTGAAAATCGCCTATAAAATCCTGTAGATTATATGGATTAGGACATATATATATATATATATATATATATATATATATATATATATCTTGCAAAAGAATTTTACACACACACACACACACACACACACACACACACACACACACACACACACACACACACACACACACACACACACACTAAGTACCATGACTCATGGTATCTAGTATCGTTTATGATCCGGTGAAGAGCCACAACTCCACGTCGTATCGATTCCAGAGATATGATAATTTATGCAGTCTTGATAGATGTTCACAATTCCCTGGTATTTGTGGGTGAAGGATTCTTTTTATTTTTTTACTATTTTTGCTATTTACTATCTTTAACCATGTGTTAAATAATAGTCTAGACTATTATTCTTTTAGAGATATGGATTCTGCATTGACTTACTCATTTTGACCTTTGAGGTCATATACAGGGAAACAAAGGAAGTCGTTTGTGATTGGCTGAAGCTAGCGTGGGAATGTTAGATAGAAAGGGATTTTAGTGAATTAAGTTCTACACGTCATACAATGTAGACGTGGTACTTTCGTCTCTAGGAATTTGCTCCCCATGGAGGGCGATAGAGCGACCCACTGTCCAGTTAAAAATGTACACTTGGACGTGTTTAATAAAGTAGTAAGTTCAATATTCCTTTTGTTGCCGGAAGATGACAACTAGAAGAATATATATATATATATATATATATATATATACAGTTTTTATATATATTATATATGATGCACGGTACTTATTGGAAAGAGCTCAATATCAGTGATAGAGCTAACATATTTACAACCAAAACTTTTCATTCTCCAACAGAAAACATTCAAACAGCACTACGCTATGCACATACATATGGCATCCCAAAAGACAGAAATATTGAAAAACGCACCTGCCTACAACAGCATTACAAAAAGGTAGCAATGATTTCTCATACCCAACAAAAGAAATTACTAAACATAAGATCAGAAATAATTTCTAAATGCAGACATGAAAACAAATACCTATTATCAAAATTTATGCCAAACGGATAAAAAAAACCCACCAACACTGACACCATAACACCATCAAGTATTTTCTAGTTCAAACTACCATCATAATAATTATAATTATTGTTATTATCATTAGACCACCATTACTACAATCACTTCTACCACTTTACAATAAATATTTGCTGCTAAAATTGTTATTGTCATCATTCGCCCCCCGACCATTATTACCACATCACAATTACCATTGCCGCATTAATCCACAATTACTACTGCACTACAATTACCATTACCGTATCAGTCCACAATTATACCTAATTTTTCCTCCCCCGAGCAAATTAATACCACGACATAAATACTAATAAGTATTACAAATTGAAGTTTCTACTATTTACATATGCGCAATCACCAAAAACAAGCAAATAATCGGCTTAAAATAATAACAAAACAGCTTCAAAAATTAAAAATAATAGCAATTTTACCTACCATAGGCTCACACAGCCCCCATCATACGTATATACCTGTGTCCGAAAAAACATTCCGTGAACAAAATAGACGAACGGTCTGCGTGTTGACAGTGCAACAGACGAAAGATATTGGCTATACAATCCAACATTGAATACTGCGACCAAATACGTACCTATGTACGCAACGACACATGGATGCGCATATATGCCCGGTCGCACACTGTCCAAATATGTTTGTGTGAGCTCCAGTGAGTGAGCATGTGTGTATCTATGTCTGCGTACATCAATGAGTAAACGTGCGTGTATGTATGTTTGCGTAAGTATGAGTTGCGTACCGATGACAATTTTTCCTCCCACTTCCATAAAAAACACCGATATACGCAACCATATATAAATCCAAAATTTAAAAATTAATCAGTTTGTCTGACGATCGCAAATAGCGTGAAACCCAGGGTCACAAACTCACATCAATCCAACTAAATACATTTGAATTTTAATTGTTTGTAATTAAAATTTATTTCTTTTTTAATCGCGTTCCAAACTTTCCCTCCTCATTCGTTATATTGATTGTGTCTTTGATTGTTTTCCAATTTGCCAACGTATACCTTTGAAAAAGTGTTGGTCGAAAGGTACCCAAGGTATAACATGACGTCCGTTTTGTTTATACACACACACACACACATACACACCCATATACACACACATATGGAGGGTTTGTGAGTTTCCCTTTTTTATTCTATACTCTTGTGGAACTATTTATTTTCATCCCCCCCCACTTGTTCAATTTTAATTTTGTGTAATTCAAAATATGTCCTTTAGTCGTGTTCCACCTTTCCCTCCTCATTTACTTTATTAAGTCTGTCTTTGTATTCATTCGAATTCAATATTGAAAATGTGTTGGCCAAAATAAATAAATAAAATAAATTCATATCTATCTCAATCTGTTCATATCTATCTATCTATCTATCTATCTATCTATCTATCTATGTGTTATGGTCCGGTTCCTTGTACCACGGTGATAGTCCAAGGTAGAACAAATAAAGAAGAACTCGAACACGGATATGGAATAACACAGATATATTACAAACAGGAATATATACAGAGAAGTAGAAAGTCTTAGTACGAACAAACAGGTTTAGTAGTAATTGTGTGAACGTGACTCTGTTTCGGACTGCCTCTGACTCGACTGACTCACTTGCTCGCTCTGACTGACTGACACCTGACGGACCTCACTCCGGATTTCAGACTGAACTCTCTGCTTCCTCTTGAGGCGCAGTATTTATTACGTATGGAATAGTCCATTATGTTATTACCGGTAAGGTCCCATAACACTATCTCAGTTTGTTTATATCATATATCTATTGCAATCTATCTCAGTTTTTTTTTATATCTATCTATTTCAGTTTGTTTATATCTATTTATCTATCGCAATCTATTCATATCTATCGCAGTCTTTTCATATCTGTCTGTTCATATCTATCTATCTATCTATCTATCTATCTATCTATCTATCTATCTATCTATCTATCTCAGTATATAAATATTAGTCACTGTCCATGCCACATTAAATATAATTAAATGATTACGAATTTATGTTATGTTTTGCGTTTATAAATTTCTCTAAATGATTGATTGCAAACAGAAAATCAATTCGATTTGTGCCAATTTTCGTGCAAGACAGATAAATCTTCTAAAAATATATTGGACTAGGCCAGACTTTACGCACGGCGACGTTCTACAGGAATCTTTCTGAGAAATGCATTAATACACCAGAAATGTCGATGATTAAATTATATTTTGTCAGATTTGCACGGGTGAAGACCAAACAAAGATTTATCGGTTTTAATCTAACCGAATACAAAGTCAAATCTGCGGAATACCAAAAAAAAAATCACTCCCAGTGTCCGGTAAATGCAACACCCCAACTGCAAAATATTTGATAGTTTTCTTTCAATAATATAACTTTAATAACTTTGATCTTCTGACGAAATATTCGGGCAAGTATCCTATCACTTGTTGTTTTGATTGCTTCGAGTTGATCGTTGACTTCCCTGGCCTTCTTATGGCTATGACACCGTCAGAAGATCAAATTATTAAAACACTCTTGTGCGTGTAGGAATATATATATATATATATATATATATATATATATATATATATATAATTCTTTCTCACCTTCTTTCTCACCTTGTCTGTCTGTCTGTCTCTCTGTCTCTCTCTCTCTCTCTCTCTCTCTCTCTCTCTCTATATATATATATATATATATATATATATATATATATATATATATATATATTTATATCATTTAATGAATAGTAAATCATAACTGTCAACCGTTGCATTTAAAGGCAAAAGAAAAAAAAATTAGTAATAGATAGCTACATATACTTTTTTTGCTTTACCAGTTGTACCACTGATAATTATTTCAGGAAGAGATGCAAAGTACTTGGCAAATAAAAATGATTTTCACTGTTACAGTGCATTTCTTATCTCATTCAATTGTATTATACGGAAAAATATTCGTAAATATGAAAAGATTATGTTAAAATAAACAGACATAATATTTGTAATTCATTCAATCAGACATGCCTAAAAAGAGAATTTCCTGCCTAAATATGCACACACACATACACACACATACATATATATATATATATATATATATATATATATATATATATATATATATATATATATTATCATCCACAGACAGACTGTTTGTCCGGTTGCCTCTAGCTAGTTTCGAAACACGGTTGAATTGGCGTCAGTCGGAGATTCTACTCCTAAGTCGTTGGCAGAGATGGAGGTGAATTTAAGCGTATTTACTTTTAGATAAACACACAGTAGCTGAGAAAACTTTATTCGCTTTACCGAAGAGTCTTGTATTATTAGCAGTAATAGTCACTGTTTACAAACTCACAGAAATAAATGAGGGAATATTGGAAAGTTTTAGGTTCGAGCAAAAAAAAAATTTGTAGTTGTTCATTTGATCAGAATTGGCGAAGTGATGTTGGGCATCAATATACACGAGCGCATACCTCATATTTCTTGTCTTTATACGACTTGAAGGGGTATCTAGAAGGTGTGTGAACCTATATTAACACTCCTTACTCCTAAAACTTCACTGACACACACGCCGATATTTGAAAGTAACTATCATTATACCTTGAGATGTGTGGCCGTAAAAACAAATATATTTTCAGATGTCGTATCCACATGGCGAGGTTAACAAGGGACAACAAAAAACACAGGAAATGAAGCTCAAGATTATTTCGCATTGCTTCTTTTGCTTTTGAAATTTAAAGAGGACATTTTAAAGTTTTAACTGGAGGAAATTCATTTAAATATTCACTATTTTTGCAATTTAAATTGTGCAAGAAAGCATCGGAATTCTATAAAATGGTGGCTTGATTTTTGCTGCTGTATGCAAAAATTACAAGAATGAATAAAAAGGACAAATTTATTTCAAACGCTGTTATTCGGTCGATAAGGATCTTTAAATTAGCAATTTAATTTTATGCTCGAAAATATTGTAGACGTCTGATCAATTAGCGTCTTCTTTTTGACTCGATGCTCAACAAAGTAGAGAAAACAAATGAAAAAAGTCATTATAAAATAGTGCAGAGCGCATTAATACATTTTAAATATTATATTAAATATTATATTATATTATATATTATAATAATTGTTGGCAGAGTAAATCGTTTGAATTGTCATGCTGGAGCATCGTTAGGGATTCACGTTCTTCTTTGGCATTAAATTCAAAATGAAATTCAATTAAATAAACAGCACCTGAGTAATCAAATTGAAGGTTACATTTGCATTCCCATTATCTTTAGTGGCTGTGTTGAAAACAAGTCAAAAAGTGGTTTTGAAGAATAATAGATATTTGCATTTGAGACATTGGCGCAACAGAATCTTTCTAATACTTTCCTCTGTTTGGAAATTAGATTAATTTACCAAATTTCCTCTACCCAATTTTAAATTTCAAATTAAAGAATCAAGGTTTGATTTTGCGAACTGCGAGCTGAGGAAGAGATTCGACGTTTAATTTAATCTCTTACACACGGTGGATACAACACGACTGGCACTTGGATGAAAAACATTATTGCTTTTCGGCAAATCTTTACCAAGGAAAGAGCCTTGCATAAATGATTATCTTTTAGTTCAAGTATGGTTTGTGCGTAACCAATATTACTCATAAACCAAGTGTTTATTTGCATAGCTCAGGAATGAAACTGTTTCAATAAATTTCCTAAGTCATAGGTTTTCTGTTGGACTTTTCTTTTCTTAGGAATACAGACGTACAGGCTAGAGGGATTTGTTGTGCCTAAATGTTTGGCCGATAGTAACGCTGGCTAAAACTGCGTCTGGATTTTAAGGGATTTCAGAAGATAAGATATTTTTAACTAATTAAAAAATATTTTTCTGCATATTCTACATAACTTCTTGTAGACAAACGTTGTTATTTCGTAGTCTACGAAGATAATGGCGACAATAATAATCTGCTTTGTTCGAACAGAATAATCATTGCTTTAGTCATAATTCATTTTAGTCGTGACTTTATCCAAATATATTCAGTACTAGGCAGTATGACTTGTCTTTGACCGGGTCTTTTATTCCTGGGAATTTTTGACGTTCAGTTGGTGCGGTTTAAGTTTAAAGACAGCCCGCCCGAAAATCAATATCAGTAACAAAATTTTGGTGCAACTGAGGCACATCCCCAAATGGGGGGGGTAACAATTTGAAGAGGAGCTGAAAAGGGAAATATAATGAATAATATTATTGTAATAATTTTAAACTATTTATTTTTATTAAAGTTTTTATGAAAGATATATATCCAAGAACAGATGGTAAATAGTAAAACGTTGCTGAGAGTTATAATGGAGAGGAAGTAGTGGAGAGCCATTGACGCCAGTAATTTGAACTCAAAACCGGCACTAAAGAATTATGTATCAAACAAAGAAAATTTCATCAAAATCGGAAGAAAACTGGAAATGCATGAACAACATTCGATCACACATACATACATTTTGAGAATTATAGATATAGATATTTTGTAATAAATAAGCAAAAGTTCAAATAATAAGCAGAAATTAAAATAAAATTAAATCACAAATAAAAGTTAATAAAATTAATCTAAAATTCCAAGGAACCTAATTCGACATTAAGCAAATTCTCGAGCTGGTACATTGTTAATTTGCAAAATAATAAACACAATATAATGATTCAAATGATTATAATGCATATAAAGTTTAATCACATGGCTGAAATAGTTGTAGTTTTCCAACCAACCAACAGTAGTGGTCAGTGTTGAAGCAAACCCCCACCCCAACATTTCATCCATCATGAAATTTTTATATATTTTTGTACTTTATGGACTATGTAATTTTTTGGTCATGGGTCTTTTGTATGCCCCGTGCGAATATGCAGTGTTTTGGTGTATGTAGAATTGAAAGACGATGGATAAGTTCTTGTAGTGAATGAGTAAATTGTAATGAATGAATTGGTTGTGAGTCGCTTTGGTTTGGTTTGGTTTGTTGTGTTTTATGGCATATCAACACCTCAATGGGTTATTTAATGCCGACAACTTTCTTTTATCCTGGTAATATTTTGTTTTGTCAAAAATCTATTTCTGGTAATATTCTTTTCCTCAAAATTGTATTGCTGGCAATATTATTTTAAAATATGTACTACTGGTAGTATTTTTATTTCTTTTCAAAATAATGGTTTTTTTTTCAAAAATATATTGCTGGTAATAGTTTTTTTCAAAAATATATTGTTGGTAATAGTTGTTTTTTTCTTCAAAAATTTCTTTCTGGTAATAATTTTTTACAAAATATTTCTGGTATTAAAACCTATTTTTACACTTTTATAATGCTTTTTACCTCAGTTTCGGGTTAACTATTTGCCCATAGCTGGGACTCTAACAAATGCTACCACCCCGGCTCAGGGTGGACCTGGGAACACCAATTATTAAGAGGTGTTTCCACTCTCCTGAAAACCTCCTGATCAGAGGCCTTGCCATTGGACGTAGTTTATCGTCTTCAGCAGGACGCGAATGCAGTTTATCGTCATACCCAGGACGCGGATGCAGTTATCGTCATAGCCAGGACGCGGTTGTGAGTCGGATTAACTAGGACTAAGGTAGCTAACGAAGACCAACCCCCTCCCTGTTCTCCAACCCGGTCATGTGCCACAATTTCTGAAATAGACATCCAGTTTTGAAGCCACAGCAAGAGAGTCTGGAGTTCGAATAATGAAATTCGAAGCGGAAAGATAGAGAATTGTTCTTCACTGACAAAATTAATGCAACCAAATCACAGAAGGCTTCATATTTTCTCATTTGCTGATTGTGTCGTCTTAAGATTGATTTAGACAGCATCAATAAACAACATTCGTGTCTTGTCCTTGTGAAAAATGTGTAATTGCCTGGAATATAGGGAGATTTAATCAAAGTGGACCGATATATGGTCTTTTAAATGGAACGCAACATCTTAGAAGGATTCATTATGAGAGAAATATTGATATTTAATTATTGACCTCC